CTGCTGTAGCCACACGAGCCAGGACCACAGAAACTTTGCTGATGTTTGTGGTGGCATCAGAGCGGGAGGCAGAGTCCAGCAGACTCAAGTCCTTGCCCCTTCCCCACACCAGGGCCTGGAGGGCAAATGGCCCCAGACTAGCCAGTACTGTGAGGTCGCTGCACTTCTGAGACTCAAGCAGACGGGCACAGAGTGCCTGGGCTGGCCCAGGAACCTGCTCAGGGGGGTACTCCCAGACAAAAAAAGCACAGAGGAACCTTCCAGTGAGGTACCTCGTGAGGCCTGAGTGAGCTTCACAGCACAGCAGCCACGGCCCTGCCACGCAGTGGGCAGCCAAGCCCTGTCCCTGCACTGGTTCCTCAGGCCGGGATGCCAGACTCTGGCCCACACAGGAGCAGAGCTGCTGCCTTGGCTGCAGCACGGGAAGACCTTTAGGGTCTGGAGAAGCACAGTTCTCATCTCGCTCAACTTGGGCCACCACTCCCTCTGCTGGGACCTGCTACCAAGGTCTTGGGGAGGCTGGATGAAGCACACCCAAACTGAGGGACGGCGAGCACTGTGCCCTTTGAAGCCCTGCTGCGAAAGGGTACAAGATCACCAGGTGATCTTCAGGAAAAGCCACCCTGTGCCAGTCCACTGGGATGGGTTGTGCTCCCGAAGTGGCAGGCAGCTGGGTGGGAGCCATCCCCTGTGGTGACTGGCAGCAGGTTTCCCCACTTTTCCACAGAGGAAAGCTTTTTATCCCTCATCTGGCCAGGCGTGCCACCAAACAGCTTCAGCTATAAATCCTCAGCACGAAATTAATCCACGGCCTTGTTTCTTCTTACCCATTAATTTACCTCCGCCTGCCGCAGGGGGATGATGGATCACTGCTCAAAACCCCTGAGCGGGATCAGTCCTCCCCCAAGAGCAGCTCAGTGTGGGCTTCCCCCAGCTCTCTGCTGTCCCAAGAGCTGCTGGAGAGGCCTCTGGTCCCAGAAGGGGACCTGTATGTCCAGCACTGAGTAAGCAGAGGGACGAAAACCCGACTGAGCTGCTCTGGATGGGATGAGGGGGTCAGTGGTGTCAAGACACGTGCGCTCCATTCCCACCCTAGCTGGTTTCACTTATGCACCCGGTTGCTGCAGAAAATCGCCCCAGGTGCTGGTAAGAGCAGGGCCAGGCCTGCCCAGCCCAGGCCCCAGCGAGGGGTGGAGGCACAGACCCCACCAGCACAGCTGCCTGCAGCCAGGCTGCGGAGTCAGGGGATGCGGGAGGCTGAGAACAGACAGCGACGGGGGAAGTGCACCCTCTACGGGACAGATTTATTGAAACAGCTGGGACCTAGCGAAGAAAATCAACTGTTGGCTTTAATTATTGCGTACGTCTTCATTTCTAGGACTAGGAAAATTTAAACTGATAAATATACATTTCATCAGAATGCCTTTGGCTGAAATATACCATTAGCACATTCTTCAAAGTTACAACAAAAGTCTTATAAATGTTAAAAAGGGATTTTTTTTCCTTTACTAAAATAAAGGAGTGCACCCCCCACCCCAACAAGGCGCTAGGACTGACAGACGGGAACTCTTGGCTGTGCAAAGCAGAGTGTTGATTACAGTAACAGAAAGAAGTCAGGACAGGAGTGGGGAGCCTGCATAGCACTCGGTGAGAGGAACGGAGGCGGCCGCAGCGGAGTCAGGTCAGCATGTCCCAGAGGCAGCAGCAGCAGAGCGCAACGCCGTCAGGCAGGGGCTCGCGCCCGTGTCGTCCCTCCGCCGCTCCTCCACGACATACACTGCGGGGACAGGAGAGCTCAGTCAGTCAGAGAGCAGCACAGCAACACCCACACTGGCCGCCCTGGCACGACCACCCCCCGCACAGCCCAGCGCTCGCTTTGGGTGACCCACGCTTGATGGAGACAAGCTGGTGCACGGGCGAGTGCTCACAGGAGGGGAGGTGCCAAGCTCCCACACTCAGCATCACAACCCCTCTGGCCATGATTTCCTCACGGCAGCACCCCTCGGACGGCAAGGATCCCCACAGGGGAAATGGTTCTTTCTGCAGCCGGGCCCAAGAAGCTGGGACTGTGAACGATGTGATCTCAACACGAGCAGCCAGTGCGGGTCAGCCAGCGCCAGACTTCTGTTACGATGAAGAAGGGCAGGGAAACGGGCTCAGCCTGGAAGGTGCCTGCTCCGAGTGAGCTGCCCTGCCTCAGCCTCCCCGCCTGACCCAACGCTTCCCTCTGCCCTCCAGCAGGAGGTCCCTGGAGCCCACGGATGCTCTGGCTGAAGTCAAAGCCTCTCTGGGCTGGGCAGAGCTGCCCTTCCTGGAGCTGGAGGGGACCCTGGGGAGCTGGGGAGGGAGCACTTGTGAGCAGAACAGGGGGGTCAGACGTGGCCAATGGCCAAGCTACACTCACTCGCTGCCCCCCTCAGCAGGGCAATACGGGAAAAGCGGATCAGAAATCTCACAGGTTGCAAAAAGACTGGGAGATTGCTCACCTATTACTATAATGGGCAAAACAGGCTTAACTTCAGGGAAAATTATTATTAAAATAGATTTGACTGGTGAGGAACAAAGACAACAGCAAAGCACCACTTTCCCTCCTCCTTCCTCCACCCAGGCGGCCTCCCTCTTGGCAACGGCGACAGCAGAGAAGAGGACTCTGCTGTGCAGGCACAGCCTGGCTCTGCAGGAGCCGCTGGCCCTGGCCAAACCATCACCACCCACTCCTTCCTCTGCCCCTGCGC